GTCTGTTTGACCCGTTGTGCTTTGTTGAGTGCGAGTAGCTTATTGATCTGAGGATCTTGTCTGTCCAGGGAAATGGTTTCATCAACATTACTTGGCTGCTTGCTTTTGAAAGTGTCTCCTGTTCTCTATCCTAAATACACTTCCCTTTAACTTCTACAGTATTAATCCTTAGGCATCATTTACTTCCATAAATACACGCATACAATATATACAGTGCTGTGTTTAAATACTCTTTAGCTATGTTCACAATATCAAATATTAAAACATGATTTAATTCTTGTGTTTTCATTCACAAAAACTTGCACAACTCATAATATTGGTGTACCTGTCAAATGTTGTGGGATTTTGTTGTGGAATTATGATTTACTCCTTTGTGAGTGTTTGTATGTTAAAGAGTAATGAACACTAATGTTCTGTGTTGTGAAAATGGAAATGTTTTATTAAGAGACTAGGTGAATCTTATTCTTTAAATAGGTCAAGATGATAGCAGCTCAAATATTACACACAATAGCAGTCCTTATACTTCCAAACATAATGTAGATAGAGGAACTTTTCTTTTCCACATTTTATGTTAATATTTTTAGAGTATGTAAAATTAAGCACGTGTATTTTAGTCCGTGTAGTTTATTTGTAGGGTGTTTCTGTGACGGGGGCTTGGGCGCCAGAGAGCTGTGGCTTTATACCATTAGCTTTTCTCATGCACACCAATGGTCTGCCTTGGTTTGTCAAATAAATACTTACAGTAAGTGGACTTTAAAAACCCAAACTGGGTCATAGCAGGACCTGTGGTAAGAGTAGATTTCACAAAGTTAGTTAAAAAGATTTGAAAGTCTGTTCTTTCATTAGCACTACATTATCGTCTCCTTATTGCCCGTTCTTCCCATTTATAATATGGAAGATATACAGTAGTTTCCATTTTAGAAATTACAGCTGAAGGCACCCAGAAGACGGTGATCAGATGTGAGTCCTACAGCTGGAACTATTTCATAATGGAATATCAGGGGATTCTTCTCTGTTCTATGAAGTTTTTGAGGTTCATTTATTGTTTCATAACTTTACATGTTCCAGACAACCTCAGCGAAAAAAGAAAAGATTTGTAACGTTCTGGATTCTTTAATTGAAGCCTGTAGAGCCTTTTTCCATCCCACTTCATTTGTTTGGATGATCCAAAAGAGAATGAATGTGCTTTTTTCCAATTTTGTTTTCTCTCAAATTCCAGGAAAATGGTTCTACGGAAAGTCAAGCTGCAAAATATCAGTAAGGGGACTGTTTTTTTTTATATATATATAGTTTAGTAAAGGCAGTGAGAAAAGTCTTTATCTCCCATGGCACCAGGTTGTAAAAGTTGGGGCTGTGGTTTGGGCACACATGTGGGTGCTGTCATGCTTCGTTGCCTGAGGTGGGACTATTTTTATCCAGGTTCCTTTTCTCAGCAGGTGGGTGATGTGACTGAACAAAGCCCTCATTTTGTCAGCAGCGGTCTCGGCGTTCGAGTCACTGGTACTTCGCGGAAGAGAAAAAAAAACAAATGCAGGAAACAACACACGCTATCTGAGCTGGATCTTGGAGAAGTAATCATACTGTAGTACAGTTCATTGACCTTTAGCGTGCATACCGATGCAAGTAGACACACACGTTCGCACACTTGGGTCATTGGATAGACTCAAGAGTGTGAGAGGATCGTAGGTCAGCTGTTGTTCCCTGGAGTTGGACTGTGCAACACCAGAACCATTTCTCATGCTATCTAACTATCTATCTTTTGGAACTGTAAGATTGTAGATTTTCTTTTTGTTTGCACCAGAGGGACATTTACACACAAAAAAAGCTCGGTTTGAAAGTGGCCTTCCTTTGACAGACAAATGTACATCCTAAAGATAATGCCTTTGCACAAAAAAACTCCATCCTCACAAGTCTGTGTTGCTCCCAGCCCTTTCAGATGCCATTGCATTGTTAAATAGGCATCAAGCAAAAATTCAGCCTTATTAACTCCACAGTACCCAAGGAAAAGTAGAGAAACCCATGCTGTAATCATATGGTCATCACTGGAGTCAATAAACATGTGGTTTCAACTTCCTTTACTCTGTAAAGATCTTGACTTGATTTATTCGGCAATTAGAAGAAGTCTTGTGCAATTGAATTGTGTGATCAATACAACCTGATAGCATTTACAGATGTAATGGTCAGTTTGGCCACATTGTTCTTTAATTATTGCCTTTAAGCACAGTCCATATATTTGACAGAAAAAGATCCATTCCTGTAGTTACATAACCAATGGACACCTCACTACTTTGATTCCGTACTTACAGAAAATAGGGATGGTCAAAAATAGAAGTGTTCTGAGGTACACATGAATCTGTGCCAATGATTGTATTTTACAGTGTCTTCAGTGCTCTTTACCAAACTGAATCTCTATGGTTAATATATGTGGAAGAAAAAATATTGCCACTTATTGTTGTTGAACATTCATTCAATTAAAAACAATGGATCTTGAGGACACACTCAGCACAGACCCTTGACAAATTAGGAGTTATAGAACATGGTGGTCCAATTAAGGCTTAAGTCTTATGCTTCTGCTGATTTCAAGAGACCCCAAAATACTTTTGGATTGCGGTTTATAAAGTTTCTGGGTGAAGACCCCTGTTTTATTTATAATCTGTCAGCTTCAATTTAATCATAAAATGAGCTGTTCTGCATTGTAACGCCATAAGAAAAGGTAGAAGAGGAGGTAGTTCTGCTCACATAGTTAATTTGTTTTCAGGTATATGATGGATCGGAGAATCTCCAACATTTCTTACAGGAAGCTGTAGCTGGCCATCCTAGGAAGGCACTGCAGTAAGAACTGATCTGCCCGACTACCAACTTGTAAATAGTCTTGCTGGGCGTGAATTTCATAGTTAGGTTATTAGCGATGGGTTGAAACACACATGTGAAGAAGTGCCTCCTTTTTCTGAACCTTAAATGAAAATTGTAGTTTCTGTCTGCGTCTCCTGGCTTGTTTTACTTCTGATACTAAAAAAAACCTTCTTGGTTGACCTTGTCAATATACAAACTCAGTGCTCTGTGGTTAAGTCCCCGAGGGACACACCTCAAGAGGCTAATCTTTATAAATGAACTGAGTCCTTCATTGAGTCCTGAAACAAAACAACGAGTTCAGTTAAGTAATGAAAACTTTTAATAGCAAGTGAAGGGTTTGTTGCCATCCAGAACCAGTGTTGCTGTATTTAGGGAGCAGAAATTCGAACTCTTTGATATGCAAAAAGTGACACAGCATCTCCCCACCTCTCACATTAAATATGGCCTGATAATTTTAAACCTTCCTGTATGATTTGTTCTGCGATAGACTGGTCTCTGGTCCAGGGTGTAGTCCCAACTCACACACTAGGCCTTTGGGAAAGACTTCATGTTGCTAAGACTGGCCAGGAGTGAGAGGCTTTCTGATAATGGAGAGGTGGATATTTCCTTCATTTTCAGCACATTGCATGTGCCAATTGGACGCCGCGATTAATACCTGCTTTAATCTTGTTTACTTTAAGCCTGCAATGAACTCAATCCAAACACCTGAAATTTCCAAGACTGAATAGTATGTGCAGCTGTGAAGTTGTGGAGTGTGATCTTACTTCTAGAGAAAAAACTGGCAGTACAACTGCAGAGTAAAATAGTTTTTTTTTAATTAAAGAAATTGGAGATGTGGATGCTGTTTTTTGATGACCTTCTAGTTTCCTAGATTGTGTGCTAGCTGAAGTGCCACTCTAATTCATTGTAGAGCTTCCTAATGCTACACTGGGGCATTGGCACATCTGCCTAGATCTCTCATTGCTCCCCAAAACATCTGCCTCGTTTCAGCACCTCCCTGGAATAGAAGCCTGTGCAGAAACACTTTTCATAAATTAAGACTCACTTCTACAGCTCTTCTTCACGGTGTTGAATGATAGGGCTCCATCATTGCATTCCACAGCCTTTTAGAGTAAGGCTGCAGGTTCAACTTATTGCTACACGGCAGTTATTTAGTGATCAAAATACTCTGCTGTGGTAGTATTGTTAGTGCTTAATATGCTGTAATGCAGACTATGGCATTGCTTCATTATTTAGAAGATCAGCATCACACTCACTGGGCTCACTGGGCTGAGGGATCAAGGCTACAGTGCTTTGAACCATTTGTGGGGAAATCATATCAAACAAGATTAAGAAAGGAAATCCTTCCCAAATGGGGATATAAGGAAATTGCAAGTTACAAGTGAAGAATACATTTCTGCTTTTAGAGTATTGTACAGTATGCCCATTCTATTGAACTGAAGCTTAATGTGGAGAGGTGAGTAACTGTTTTAGTTTGGCAAGCCTAATTCCCAGTCCAGGGGTGCAGTGGGGTCTTCTGATTTTCCTCCTGCTTGAGCTCTTAATGAATTAATTCAATCAGTTTCAGTTCTTTAATTACAATTATTTCCCCGTCTGTAGTCACTCAGGTTTAATAGTTCCCAGCAGTACATTATCATTAATTTACCTTGCTGGCGCTTTTAACCAAAGTGACTGAATTTTGGACCCTTTCATGTAGCTGAGTAAATTTACTGCAGTGCAGTAAACTGAGTAAGGTAAAGTGCCCCAATTGTGGTTCAAACCTATAACCTTCCAGTTGTGAGTCCAATCTCTCAAAACTCTGTGATCTCTGCAGTGTTTTAAAAAAGGTCTCTATAATTCCTGATTTTCTTTTGGCATTTATTCTTCCTGCTTCTGATAATACTCTTACTCCCGTCTTATTGATTTTTTGTTTTATTTTTAGTTGAACAGATTTCTATGGCAAACAGTTCGAGGTAGAAATGCTTGTGTAACGATTGTGACCGAGAGGAATAGAACTGGAGAAGTTTGTAAGCGTTGCACTGGAATTCAGAAGAGAATGTTAGAGCTGTGAGCTTAAGTGCCCTGTGCAGAACTGTGCCTGTATTTGCTTCAGTTTCTGTTATTCAATTAGGAAATTAAATATTAAGGATGTTTTCTTTCCTTCACAGATTCCAATGTAGCAGAGCCCTGAACCCTAATCCCCATTGTTCAGCATGAACCCAGCACTACCGTAGAGACACGCCTTCCAACAGTAAGCTTTTCTGAATCCGTTTCTAAAATGATGGCATAAATTCACTGTTACTGGGGTTTGTCTAGTAGTTGCAGAGTACTAGATTTAGACGCTTTCACAAGATAATGCCTCAGAAGTTGCTGAGAGGCTACAGCTGAATGATACAATTGCCTTTATTTGCCATTAGATATGCACACACCAACATGCCTAATCCTTTTTGCTTGAGCACTTACATCCCGGAATAAGAATGAACTCTCACTTAGTGTCCTGAAACCTCAAACATGGAGTTCTCTGGCACCTCACTAGTAAACACAAGCTCACAATTCTGCTCTGGAAGTTCTTATGCAACAATAACAGCAAAAAAAGCAGAATTCAACACTGGATACGGAACACAACACCTTTTAATAGGATTGTTTGAAAGACTAGCACAAAAACATTTGTTTGCTTCGTCTTGAAAATCTATATAGGTAGAATGGGTTAAGGTATATTCAAAATTCACTGTGATTTGAAAAATCAGCTCCCAATAGTGCAGTTCTGTTGTATTATATTTAGTGCATATCCTATCATCATTATGAGTCAAACACATTCCAGCCTGTGTTGCATTGCTCTTTGTTTTGCCTTTTTTGTGACGTGCGATCACTTAAGGATTAGTACTGCTGACAGCCACATACCAGGGGGCTTTAGAATTTGATTGTGCGGGGTTCACGTCGGTACACCAAAAGCATCCAAATACCCCGCCCTTGGAAGTTGGCAGGAAGGCCAGTTCCAGGCCACTGCTGGGTGCTCACAAGCCCTCAGCCCCCCTCTCCTTTTCCTTGCTTGTGTGTAAAAGGCTGACAATCCTCTGAACCTCTCAGGGGAAGCAGTTTTGTGCTGATCAGTGCAGCCTGGAGGAGCAGCAGGGAAGCCCTGGACTCAAACAGGAATCGCACTCTCTGCCTGTTTCCATCGCGCTCCGCTGCCGGTTGGCCTGTTCATCATCGCAGCGGGGCTCCAGCCTGTTACCTCCCTCCCTGACCCCGAGTTGCCTCCACTGAAGAGGTCCTCTTTCCTTCTTTTCCCCGATCTGCTTACACTGTCCTTCATCCGCCTTATCATCTCTCCTTTATTTTCTGGCGCAATCTCTCTTTTCATGGGGGATCTGCTGCAGGGGAGTCCTAACTATGCCTTGATTGACAAACCGTGGAAGAGAAACCAAAAATCAAGTCAAAAGATATTTTAAAAATACCATTAATAATAGTGATAGGAAGACTATACTGAGTGATGCTGAATAATGTAAACTGAAGTCTTGAAGCTTAAACAGTAATCTTTCTGAAACTCGTTAGTAATTGCCTGTGTTTACTGATGCCAAGATCTGCTGTCATTTATTCAATCAAATATGTTTGGAACAAATTTTCTTAAGGTGAAGTTCAAAATATGTGTATTGAACCATTTTGCTACAAAGATAGCAAGTTGAATGTATCCTTTCTGCTGCATGTTGATTGGATACAAAAGACTGCTTACTGTATATTACTGCATATTACTTAGATAACATAGGCAGATTCATAACTTGGAGACAAATTTGATTAAGGCTTTATTGTTACCTCAGAATAATCCTGTCAGTGAGGGCATCGGTGTATGCACTGTAATATATAGTCTGGTTTGTATTTTTGTGTTGTAAGTACAGTATAGTATACTCTTACCAAAGGTGCAGAGTACAGTATGTGTATACAATATATAAGCTTCTAATATAATGTATATGCGTTTTAAGAAATTTTCAAAAGGACCTCTGTTTTTAATTCCCTTTCTCTTAACCAAAACAAAAAACAAATAAGAGTCGGATGTTAGAAATCCCCAAACAAGGGGAGTTTTGAGGATGTATTCGTATCTGGCTGAGGTCCTGTGGTTTCACATGGTCTTTATACTGGGCTGGGGAGTCCAGATTACAAAGATCATATTCACTGAGAGACAATACAGCTGCTAACAGCATGGCAGAACAATACCATCCGAAGGTTATCTGTAACAACACTCTCATTGATAGTGTATTGAGGGGTTCGCGTTGGAAACTGATTTTGGTGGTGGCCAGTGGAGAGAGAGATTACCAGAGAGAGAGAGGCTGAGGGGGACAGATCTTCCAAGGGCGGCTGACTTCTGAATGTCATTGTGCTGTGCTTTACGTGTCCTGCAGTCATTTCAGTTTCAGACGTTGTCCTGCAGCAAATATACATGGCTAAGAACCATAATGGAAATTGCTAAGCAGCTGTGCAGTAAGAGCTCCTGTTTTTGCTCACCCTTGTGTCAACTGATGTAAAGCCAGTTCTGGCACTTGCTGAGTGTAACCAGAAACCTCTATCGATACGGCACATTTTGCACATACTGTATATGCGATGATGTGCATCAAGTCTAATTTGTTTGCCTTATAAACATTTTTATAGACTTGCTGCACTGACGTTTTTAAAGAGAAGATGAAATTTCCTGCAGTTGGTAGTAGAACAGCTTTGAAAAGTGACTCAGACCCATGTGACTGTGAGCGAGCGGAGTGGTGAGTGTGCAGGGCTCCTAATATTTGCGTGACTTACTAATTAACACCCTAATCTCCACACCTCCCATCAAGCCTGTCTCCCAAATGATGCTTTAACTCTTCAAAGTCGGTTTTCAAGCTTTCGCTTGAAATGACCCCTTTGCCTAGAGACAGAAGCAATCGAAGTTTTCGGCACCACCATCGTTATCTCCCAGCCTCTCAAATGATCTCTCAGTGACCTTTGGATCGATACAGTCTTCTGCAGTGAGTTGACATGCGGTAATTGTGAGAGGTTCCATTTTTAAAACATGACTGGGGTGGATTTCAAAGGGCAAAGTTACATGCTAATTAATTCATTGATTAATTAGGAGTGTGCTGAATACTCAAAGATGTCTTTTCCCCTTTTTTTTATACTATGCATTTGAAATGTTTTTTCTTGCTACAGTTGTTCAGGTCTAACCTGTGTCATTTAGATGAGTTTTAATTGGTTATATCACCTGTATCAGTTCGCTTTCGTTTTTACCTGGCAGCACCACAAATTAATAATAATAATTAATTAAAATACAGTTTTGTAGAAAAAAAGAATACAGAGCAAAAAATATTTCTACATGTACGAACAGTTGACATTGCAGGCAACGAATTGACAAAGTCTGACAGTCTTGCTGGTCCAACAGAATGTGTTGGTATGTTACGAGAAGCCATCTTTAGAAAACAATAAAACTTGTCTGTCTTGGCTGTTCTTGCATGTTTCTTCAGTCAACATGGAGGTCCTTGCTAGCACATAATGTGTCACACATGAATGTATGTACGGTGAGCTGTATGTTAAAATAACCAGTTTTGCCTTTAATAAATCAGAATATTTTATTTAATATATTATGCACACCTGCTTCTAGCTTCCTTTCCCTTACGCTCAACTACACAACTCATGGTAGCCCAAAACTGAGATATTTCTAAAGATATTATCTGAATTTAATAAAATCAAGATGTTGATATGTCAGTTTTGCTTAGCCAAAGAAATAAACAAAGCTGTGATCTTTTGAGACAAGGAAATTCAAAATCAGTTGGAGGGAAAAACACAGAGAATACAGTTTTTCTGGTTCTGTACTCCTATTAGTAAGAAATACTTTGTGGAGGAAATGTGTTAGGTAAAAATCATTCGAAGCTACTTAACTCAAAGAACTTACTGGAATGTGGGTCTGTAGTTTTGAATGGTTTTCCTTGGTGTGTCAGAAGGATATATCTTCTTCACTTTTTTAAATTTGCACCAGTCTGTTGTCATGATTGTCTTGAAACCCACAGAGCAGCCCATGAGTTCAGAGGAACTCACTCATCTTTGTGCCTGTGCTCAGTGTGAAATATGAGAATTACCAGCCTATTTTCCTTTCGTGATTAAAAAAAAAAAGTGACTAGATCTTCACTGAGATGTAAACATGTTTACTTGCTCTCGATCTGTCTCTACCATCGCATCGGTGGCTGTGGGATTAGTATTGCTGCCCTGCCTTGAACCCCATCTGAAGCCTCAAGGCCTTCTCAGAAAGGCGTACAGCAGATCTGAATTCAGACTTCGTGAAGGACTTCGTTATGCAGTAGTCCACTGTTCTTCAAGATTTACTGCATGCATGCGCTGCCTCTTGAGGTGATGCGTTCGATTTTCTTTTGCTGTCCACAGTGTCAATTTCAGTTTTTAAAATCTACAGATTTTGCAGGCCTTATGGCGTGCCGTGATGTGTGGTTGTGGAGATTTCAGGGTTAACTATCAATAGTGTGATTGCAGAGGAAAAGACATTAGAAAGGAACTGTCCCCAGGGCTCTGTTCTGGTCACATACCATTCCTTTTGTCTGCTTTTTTTTATGGTTTAGCTCCATTTTTGATCCTGTGCCAGGGATTCCCTGCTTTCAGCGTGTCGATAACCCCAGCCGCTTTGCAGACGACAGGAAATGTGCTGTGGCGGATAGCAAAACAATGTCAAAAATGCAGGCTCCCCCCCCCACCCCCCTCCATCTCACTCCCTTATGAGCCAGCCCCTCCCCTCAGCTGCTGCGCTTCCACGCCAGCCCCAGGCAACTTCCCGTGATGTCACTGCCCAAATAAGGAGCTCCCCGATCACTTTTACTATCTGCGAGCCACCTCCGAGTCAGACGAGCCCCCCCTCCACTGCCCTCCCCGCCCTTTCTGCACAGACTGACGCTGACTTGCGAGAGCTGTCACAGGAGGGGATCTGCTCCTCGGGCTGAGAGAGTCACCCAGGCGCACTGCCTTCCGCCGCGCTCACACACACAGGGCTCGCACGTTCGCTAGAGCGCCCAGCAAGCACAGCGCAAGAGGCAGGCAGCCCTAGCATCGCCACTTGACACGCTTCTCCTCTCTCCCTTGAATCATCAGCAGCCGCACAGACTGAGCTTTTTTTCTTTCTTTTCCTGTTACCTTGCGACCATTTCTCCGTTTCTGGATGCTGCTTTCCACATGGACTTGAGAGGCTCGAGTGCCTCCACTACCTGCCTCTTGGAGTGGCACTGAGCA